TCAGGGTTTAGCTGAAGCTGAACCAAGTCCTGTAATCCCCAGGTCTTCGGAAATGCTCCAAAGCCCAGTCAAAGTTGCTTTGCTTGGACCAAGAGCTGCCTCAAAGGCAAAGCTGGCCTGAGAACCTAAAAAAACCTCCGTGGTTGTTCTGATAGGCAAATGCATCAATTATAGATGGGATCTCCACTTTGCAGAAGAGCACTGCTGTTATAACCGTCACAAAAGTGGAAACACAAAAAGCTCTGGGGAGAGGCTGCAGCACAGATCGATACGAGCAGCACGTGAGCTTTTATGGGGGAAGAAGAAGCGACAGAAGGATCTTGAGGGGAGCCACAGATAAACAACTGATGGTACAAAACAACTCACCTGTGCTAAGAAGCAGGAAAAAGTGGGTTTCAAATATACCAGAGGACACTGCTCAGAAATAGGACAGGCTCTGGCATATTGGGGTTGGATTTCTCTGGCAGTCCCCTCAGACACCCGTGGCTGTCCCTTGTGACAGGTGACAACTACAGGGAAGGTCAGTTCAGAGAAAAACAGGATGAAATGTACTTTTCTCTATAGGTTTTAAAGATAGGTCTTTTTTTGTATTTTAAATGCTCCCAGCTGACCACATAATTTATCAATTCCAGAAGAAAAAAAACAAACAACAAAACAGATTTAAAGGCGACCTTCAGTACAGTTATAATCCAGTTGGATGCTTTTCTGGGAAGCACTGGCTGGGAAGACACTATTGTTTACTTCAGATACATCTGGTGCACTGTTGTGGTCAGCAGCCCTCACTGTGTGTCCACAACATCTTCACTGTGGTGTTTCCTTGAATTAATTGGGCTCAATTAGGACCATTTACCATTCACATTTAATTTCACTAGTATGATTTAGCCAATTTTCAGGACGTGCTGTATCTCTTTGCATCAGAAATTACCTTTCTCACCAAAAGGACTTTGCTCCAAAGAAATATCTCTGATTTAATACTCTCCTGTAGCATCTGGCTCATCTGCCTAAAAAATTAAGATTGGTTTTGCTTACAGTTTAAATTCCCAGTCATCACATTACCACTTTGGCAGTTATGATAATTTTTACTGAATTAATTTCCATCTCAAAAAAAGTCTTCTTTTTTTTTTTTTTTCCCCCCCTGACTTTTTAAGCTCTTTTTGGCTGCTGGCAAGAATTCAGTAATGCTTCAGATATTAATGTTTATTTTTTAAATAAGTTTGTCATTTAGGAAAAAAAAAAGGAAGGTACATCTGACTCCTTAAACACTGTAGGTCTAAATGTTAAATATGACAGCTGAGAGACCTCTCTTTTTAGTTTTAATCAGTTTAAATTTGAATTTGTTCAGATGGGTTTTGACCAGTTAATTTGTCCTGACAGCTCTCAGGGTCACATTTAGTTTATCCCCATAGGTGCCTTGTTCTCCAGGAGAATAAAATGCATTTGTCTCATCCACTTGCCTTTGATTTTCATATTTGTGTGAATGACTTTGAAATCACAGGAATCAAAAGAATTAAATTAAATAAAATGGAAAACAGATTAAATAAAATGTTTTTGCCTCCCTAAAACATTGCCTGAAAGGTCCCTGGGTGGACAAAATGACCGCAGAATTTACAAAATGCTGAAAACTTCTGATGTGATTGCACCCATAAAGAAGGAACATTTCTTCCTTTACTTCATAACCAGCCTCAAATATTTTCACAGGAGTATTTGCATTATGGTTATTGGAGCTTCTGTGTGTGGGAGGAGGCTCAGTTTGCCTGAAATGATGGTATTCCAGCACTGAGGACATCAAGTTACTATAAAGGAAGCAAATCAGGAAAAGCACATGAACTAATAGCAGCTCATTTTAAATTTGTGTAGGCAGAAAGTGTTGTGCCTGCTCTCTAAAAATATATTGAAACCCAAACTAAGCTCTGAGGGCAGAGAAGATCTTTGAAAAGGAGGTGCATGAAGAGAATGCCTCCCAGTGTCACAGCTGTTTTTGAAACAAAGCAAATAACAAGCAGAGTTTCCTGAGCCCAGGCATCCCATGGAGGTTGTGACAACAGGGTGCCCAGAATGGACTGGGCCACACAGTAACTTCGTAAAAGCAAATCCATATATTGATTAAAATCAAACCAACCCCAACAGAAGTTGATTGACCTTTCTAAATGGCAGGGTTTTTTTCATGCCGTGGGTATGGAAGTCTTTCAGCCGCTGCAGCCGTGCCTGGCACTTTCAGCTGTTTTCTTCCACACACAAAGGAGCCTCGTTTCCCATGACAGCAAAGTGCACATCAGCACATGCCATGCAAATCACAACCACTTCAAAACCTCTCTCTATGCAGAGGAATATTCAGCAAATCATCTCCCCTAATAACAGGAGTCTCCAGCTGCCGAGGGCTCTGTTATTGGACCTCGCTTGAAAGACTTCACGGTGTCTGCACGTGAGTGTCGGTGACACTGGGAAATACAGTCAGGCTGGAACAGAAATTTGAAGTACATGACAAAAACCAGCCTTTATCTCATAGCCCTTGCAACAGTTTTCTTTAAAACACTCCTACTCCAAGAACCCAGGCACGTAGAGAGTGTTTCCAGCGGGAGTAAGAAAAGATATAGATGGGTTTGTGATGTACAAGTCCTCTGGAACTTAGTGGAGTTCAGGGTCTTGCTCTCACAGAAAACATGAACTCCAAGCCAGGTTCCCACTGGCCTGAATCCCACACAAAGTGAGCACCTTTCACTTTGAAGCTGGAAGCAAGAGTCAGCGCACTTAATGAAGGGCAATCAGTTCATATCAAGATCACCACAGCCAGCAAACCTTCCAGACTGTGTGTCTGCATGGTTTAAAGGGGAAAAGAAGACAATACAGAGGATAGAAGTATTTGGCATTTTTCCCAGTTAAATAAGATAGTAAACCCAGTAATATTTGCTAAAAAAAAAAAAAAAAAAAAGAGCATTAGATAAGTATTAAGAATATTAAAAGAGAAGCAGATGCATAATGCATGACTGTTAAAGGTGGTAGGCTCCACCAGTGGCACAATAATCAATAAGATACTGAAAGAGTTGGCGGGGAAGGACAGAAAAAGCAAGATTACATCATGAGGGTGAGATCTTGGCAGTACCTGTGGGGGATTCAACAGGATCATGTTTGCAGCTGGAAAAGAACAGACATAAGGTTATGCCTAAATTTATACTGCTGCATTGAGTTCTCAGCCTCTGAACTTGGAAAAGAATGATTTACCCAATACTGAGGGCAATCAGAGACAACTGCATTTAACAAAGCAATAATAACAGCTGACAGCATCAGCCTGCATAGCTCAGGAGCTTCTGTCAAGGCAGAATTTACAGAAACAACTTTCCAGCAGTTCAGTCCACTGGTTCTAAGAATGATCCCAGGATAAGCTTTCCTAACTCAGAAACTCCCAGGGATGAAGCGAAGAACTAAAGCTAACTCACTAAAAATGATCTGGATGTATTTATTTCCAGCAGGCACAGTGATTAACATAAAAACTTTAAAATGAGAGGCAGCCTGTTAAAAACCACATGAATGCTTCAGGGTGCCACCAGCTGTAAATCCCTGCTGGTCTCCACCAGTTCAAGAGGACCCAGTGATCCTGGAGGTCTTTTCCAACCTCTATGATTCTGTGACTACAATTTTGATAAGCAGCTACATCTCTGGAACATCAGTTCTAAAAATTCTCTAGATGAGTTTAAGCTTTTAATGGTTGTTGGGCTTTTAACCTGGAGGTTTTTGACAGTCTAGTTATTATAAAAAAGCATGTGTATGCTTCTACCCAGAGATGTGGTGGGGGAAGGATGAATAACCTCTGGAAGAGGACAAAGAAACACGATGGAAAAATGATGATCCACCTGTTGGTGCCTCTTAACATGCCCCTGAAATGCCAGGAATTTCACATTCATTTCTGGGCTCAGATCCTAACTCATTTAGATGATCTCGGATTTTTGCTTTGCTCTTCTAATGAAGACCATTCCCAAGCTTTCCAGTATCCACACAAACACTGAGGGTACCAGAATTGGTGATGGAAACTTGGAATCTGACAAGGATGGTCCCTAGGACATAATGCAGCCTGCTGGTTGGTTTGTCTGAGACAGGGAATTATGGCAAGGGCTGACCCAAGAGAGAGCTTTTACACCCAACTGCAATATTTACATAAAATATCAAAGAGAGGAGTGGAAACCCACAAAGGGAGGAAGAAAGGAGGGGGAGCTGAGGGAGGCTGTGCTGATGTTTTTGTCAGCGTTCCAGGTGGAGGCAGTGAATGAATCCTGAGCAGTGTCAAGCTCAGCAGTGACTCACTGTGCTGCCTTCTCTTCAGGCAGAGCAGTGTGCAGGTTGCCTTTCCAAACCTATTTCCATGGGAGAGGCTGTGCAGGAATCCTGTGAAGACACACCTACTAAACTTCACTTGGATCCCCCAGCCTGACAGATAAAGTGCATGTTTAGATGGCTTTCACAGCTGATTTCAGTCCAGTCCAGTGGGTTACACAGGAAAATTGCTTTCAACAGCCCTGTCACAACCCCTGGCTCAACAGCCACTCTCCCAGTGAGGTGATGCCAAGCAATCCGTGCCTTGATCGGGGCTGGAGCCCTGCAAAGCGTCCCACAGGTTGTGCTGCCGTTATCAGGCATCTATACCAACAGATCTGCATGATTTATCCAATTAGCAGGTTACCCAAATTAACTTTTTAAAATTAAGTCTACTGGAAGTAAATGGGTCAGTTATTTTCTTTCATACCTTATTGGCTTCAACCATGTTTCTCTTGGTTTTTAAGGCAGTGAATGAAGAGAGTAATGTGGGTGCTATGAAATGCATATGGGGATAATTTACACCCACTCTTTTTGCAAAGCTGAGGTGAAAAGCTGAAAGAACAATTTGGTTTCATGAAGATGTCACAAAAGTAAGGGACAGCTGCTTGTTTAGTAGTGTAAAAGTCCATTGTCTTCTATACCTATGAAATCCAAAAATATGGCCAAGCAGCCTATAAAATAAACTCTCTTTGACAAAATAAAGTTTTCAAAATAAACAGGTATTTTCCTTTCCTTTTGTAGCAATAGAATGACCTACATGTTGATATTAGTTTTGGGCCTAAATCCCCAATATTGCCTTTGAACAGATCTTTTTAGTTAACAGATCTAAAGTGCCAGCACTTGTAGGATCTTAGTTATTACAGGTTATTGCAACAGTGTTATTTGCCACATCCTAATGAGTTACCCTAAGAAATTAGGAATAAATGATGATCAACATGTGTAACAAACACAGAGGGCTTGATGAAAATGGGAACTTGAGCTAGGAAGAGAAAAGCAAAATAAAATACTGAATGGCAATTTTTCAGTAATTGTTTTGTAAGCACTTTAATACTGAATCTCATTAAAAAAAACCCTAATGCTGTAAATTGGTAATAAGGCCAATGTCCTTTAGTGAACACTTGCTTAAATTTACAGCTATATATCAGCAACTCCCCTGAATAATGCTGAAGTTAGAAGACCTTCTCTGGGTTAAATCATCTTTATGGAATAGGGTAGAGAAAACAATGAAAATTTTGCCTATAACTCATTATTCTGAGTCAAATAATGTTTGCTTCTGCTAAATGCAGAGAAAGTAGTATTTTTGCTTTGATGTACATTCAAATAATGAACTGGGTTACACTGATATAAAAAAGAAGTTAAAGTTTTGTGGTTTTAACATCAGACTGAAACTATACAGCAATGGAAGCATAAATTATGTGGGGTCAGTTTTCAGATAGGAGACTTGCTTTCTTCAGTTGCAACATATATATATATGTATATGTACATGTGAAATTGTCTTGCTCCTTGGAAGATACAATTATCCCGAACTCCAGTGCTTTCTGCAAAGTTCTTAGCCATGGAAAAACTACCAAAATTACTTAGCAGATGGTGTCTTTTTTCCTCACAAAACTAGAGAGGTAAGATTAAGTGTGTCTTTACTATTTTTGATAATGTCAGTTCCTATTCTGTCTTGTTACTCCTGACAGCATGTAAATATTTAATAGCACTCAAAAGGTAACTTGTCTGGAAAGAAGGAACAACATAAATATGTAAGTGAGAGTTGAGTACTGAGCTACTCAGCCTTTGGAAAGGTCTTACAATGAACTCGCTCAGTCCAATAATGTGGTTCTGCCTCACTGAAAACTGCACAGTCACATCCATATCAGAAAGTGAATTAATGTCCTTGGAGTTGCCCAACAAAAGGACTATTTATTGGATTCCTGCAAAAATACATACATACAGACATAGATATATATATATAATAAATATATGTGTGCATCCTTATATCTCAATATTGCCATACATGTTTTTGCTGACAGAGATTAATACACATATTCCTGTGATTTGATAAGGTCAAAACTTTTATCTGCTCACATTTAAATGAGGCAGATTCAATTATAGCACAATCTGACTGATCCTCAGGCAAGTACATTTGGGTTTGTCTAAGTTTTCCCACTGTTTTAGCCTGAGGATCTGCAGTTTTTACCTCTCTCCAGTGCAGTTCTTCCACATGGGATGGGATCCTCCTGTCTTTTCCTTTTCTATTTGATAAATTCCTTTCTCCTGAGCTTCTTTCTCCCAAAATAATCTGAAAGCAAAGCAAAAGCAAAGCAAGTGAAACATGAAAACAATGTGTAGCCTCTATCTTGTTTGCCTAGCACTGGTTTCTATCCTGTTAATTTTTAAGTTTTGAAGTACTATTTAAAAAATCCAAGGAAAAGAAAGCCCATGGCAAGAGTCTGACAGTGTTTCTGCACCAGGCTGGAGCAGACTGATGAATGCTACTCACCTATTAGCCATGAAATGTTCATAAATCTGCCCATAGTATCTACCCAGTATATTGTAAATGTTGACACTGGACCAATTCTAACTAAAAAGACTTGCTTATTTATTTGGTGTTTATTTTCTTCTTAAATATAGTTTAGTAGGCTTTTGAAAAAGGTATGTCTATGTGCAAATAGTGCTATTTTAAATATACTACCAAAATTGCTTGGCTCCAAGAAACCAATATTTTAATGATTATGTTGCTCAGTAGGTCCCAGACTAACACTGAGCTGCACTCAGAAAATACAATCAATCAGCTCAGAGTTGTTCATGCCTTAAACATCCAATATCCTGAGCATACAGAAACATTTCAGAGCAGAACAGAGCAAAAGATTTTGATTCAGCTCTCCCTGCAGCCTCCAGAAAGCTGCTCTGAAAAGACTCCAGAACCTCTTTGATCTCCAATACACGGAGTAAGGTGTGAGAGGGTCTGTAGAACTTGGCTTTTTCATTACCACCTCCAGCTATTTTAGCAAAAGCTGCAGCACTTGTCACTGATTAAATAACACACTTGGACATTTAGTTAATTGCCTGAGTCTCCAAGATAAACAAAATTGCTCAAGTAAAACTTGCTCCTGATTTTTATATGGATGTCAGGTATACGATATGGATTTTTTTTGTGTGGATTTAAAATGTAACTTTCATTCAATAACTTAAATTTAAGAAATTATCACATTGCACACTAAATAATGCACATTATGCTTACAGCACCAAGATGATGTCAGGAAAAGGCACTTTGAATAGATAAATCTAACTCTTCTTAAATAACCAATCAATGTGAACAACCTCTATGCATTTTGCTGTGCTAAAATATACTGCGTAGGATATGGAAAATACAATAGAGACTGCACTTCCAAAACATGATGCTGCTTAGAAACTGGATCACTCTTATCAGCATTTCCTGCCTTCTTAATTTCATGTTCCTATTTAGATGGGGTACTGGGAAGGAATTCTTGGCTGGGAGGGTGGGCAGGCCCTGGCACAGGGAGAAGCTGTGGCTGCCCCATCCCTGGAAGTGTCCAAGGCCAGGTTCGATGGGGTTTGGAGCAACCTGGGCTGGTGGAAGGTGTCCCTGCCCATGGCAGGGAGTGGGACTGGATGACCTTTAAGGTCCCTTCAACACAAACCGTTCCATGATTCCATGAGACACAGTGACATTCCTGTGCCATGTCCATCCCGAGCCACAGGGAATGGAGCCCCGGGCACGGTGACATCCAGGGTTCCCTCAAGGCTCCGAGCCCTCCTCAGGAGAGCCTCCCCAGAGCAATACAGGTGGTCCCAGTCACTGAGGCATCTCAGGGACGTGGAGAGGAGTGTCCCAGCCACGTTCCCCATCTGAGCGGGCACGTGTTGGGCAGCAGCTCTGCCCTCTGTGAGGAAGAGGGGGGATGAGGAGGGGATTCCCCTCAGGGCAGCCTGCAGGACCCCCATCCCAGGGACCGCCACCTGCTCCTCAGAAAATGGTACTGTGTTAAGGGATCTCTGCTGTGAGGTGGGCTCAGGGGGGACCAGGAGTGCCCAGAGGGTGAGGTGGGAGCGTGAGGGGGCAGGGCTGGGGAAGCATGGCGACGCCTCAGGACAGAGCGCTCGGGGACGGGCTGAGGGTGCTGAGGGTACGGTGGACACGATGTGGTGATCCAGGGGCTGGAATGTTACTGGAGGGGCAGGAGAGAGGGTGGTGGGATGGCAGAGGAGAACAGGAATGTAAGAAAAAATGGGATGGCAGGACCTGGAGCCAGCGAGCCAGCGGAACTCCTGCTGCCTTCCCGCGTGCGTCCCCCTCAGGGTCTGGGGTGGAGGGCTGAGGGAGGAAACTCAGGTTTGTGTCTGAGGATGAGGATATATCTAAATCTCTCTATATATGCACATTATCTATCTATCAATCCATCCATCCATCCATCTATCTGTGCACTAGCAGAAAGAATGATGACAAAGTGCGAGGGCCCAAACCGTGCCCGAAATGAGCGGGAAGGGCGTTGTCATGAGGGGTTGAACGGAGGGGACCCGCCTGTGGACCTGGAGCAGAGGGACGAGCCGCTGGTGCAAGCCATGTGTGCATCAGTGCCTGTCTGTCTGTGTGCTGTCTGCACACCGTTTGTGTACACGGCTATACGATGGAGCCCGCTCGGGATGCGCTAATTGCAGCGAGCGTTCCTGTGGGATGAACGCTCGCTGACACGCGTGGGAGTGAGCGGGACAAACAGACGCCATGTGGGGAGGCTGAGCAAATACGTGTGAAGGAGATGCTGCTGTTGTTTTCCAAATATTGATGAGGAGTTGTTAAAACCGGAGTAGTCAGTCATGCTGCTCTGTCTGTTTAGTTTCTTAAACGGAGCACAGATTGAGTAAGTGCTGGCTGTTAAACAAAAAACCAAACCCGACACTCACTTCTAACCTCATCCACACCTTGATTTCCTGCTCTAATCTTCTTCCCAACAGTTTTATGTGCCTTCTGCCAAAAGGAACAGCTCACTGAAGTACTTGCAATTTCTCCCTTGGATATTATTGACTAAAAAAATGCTTATATTCAGCCTCAGTATGTTTGGTATGTGCCTGTTTGTTCATATATCAAATATGAATAACTATCATTATCTAATGTCCTTAGAGAATGTGATAGAATAAAATTCCAAATCCCATTTGAAATTCCACACTTGCTGCAAATTTTCCTGTGTATAATTTTCTAGGAAATGATGAGGTATATTCAAGTTGAAATCAAATTACTTTAGGCTGTTGAGGGAAGCGCTGGTCCTTTATTTCCCACTCCCTCCCTAGTCCATTACAATCCATATGCACCGCAGTCAGGCTTTTGTGATAAATAGCTCTGCAGAAAGTAAAAGCTGCTCATTTTCTTTGATTCCATCTGCAATCACCTCTCAGTTATTGAGGCTGCAGGTGCAGCTCCGTGGAGCTGCTTCCCTCGGTGCTGCGTGGGTGTGGAAGTGGAGGCGCCGTGATCTGGGACTGCCCAGACCTGGGTCAGTGCTCCCTGTGGGATCTCTGCCCTCCCGGTCCTCAACCTGCCTGGTGCTTCCCTGCTCTCTGCAGTTTATTGTGTCTGTGTTTGTGTAACCACCGGTTTCTTGCTTAATTTGTGTTACCAGAACTCTCAGTTACTTCAGGTAATTGAAAGGTGGTTGTGTTTGGGGTTCTGGCAACTTGGTGTGATTTCAGAACAGATTTTACAGTCATTTTCTACTGGAAAACTAATGACAGTTCTTTGTAAATATAGCAGCTGTTGGAGAAGGTGTGAGGGAATTGAGCTAAAACCTCTGTCATAAACAGGTTGGCAGCTTAGTTTGAGCCAATATTTCACTTTCTCTGTTTAGGTCAGATACATTTGAATCGGGTTCAGTCAGCACGCAACACTCTTTTTGCTTCAGAGACAGGCTCTCACTTCCAAGACAGTACCTTCTCCTTAAAAAGAAATTAAATATATTTTAAACATCAGAATTTCAGAAACGGCCATGTAGAAAACCAATTTTTAAAAGTGAGTTGAGTATTAATAGTCAGACCTGAATCTCTTTTTAACTGTAACCATTAGTATGAATGTTCCAGGACTGACTCATACTTTGAGTGCTTGCCAAGAATGACGTGAGTAAATATCTCCCAAAGCCAGCTCTTTTGCAGCAGACTATTGTTAACTGGCATTTGATATATTATAGCAGCATTCATCACAGCTCTTCAGATAAGGTTCAGTCAGGAGAACAGTTGCATTTGTTATTTTCCTTCTTTGCTCCCCTTTTCTTTTCAGACAGTCTCATTCAGCCTTGTTTACAAACTGGAGCACTTGACCCAAAATAAAATAGTGCATAAAATTTCAGGAAAATGTTGTTGTTATAGATACTCACTTTAAGTGTAGATGTTTTAGCATTTTTCAGCCTGTATATCTCAGTGGTAGGGAGTGTTTGAAGCTGTGAATGCCACGGAGATTGAAAACAAGTTTACTTCGCATTTAATCTGGAAGGTGATTCAGGACCACTTGTACCAACATTACATAGACTTGGTTTCCAGGAGCTAATCTTGGGTTGGGATTTAAACACAGTCTGAGTATTAACTTAGGCTACTCCTTCACAGTGGCTTTTGGGGCCAAATGGCAGAAGTTGCATATTTTAAGTTGTATTCATTACGTGGCAGTGAAACCAAAGGCACACACCTGAAAACCTTTATTGTTAGAGAATGTCTCAAAGATTTTCTAAATTCAGAATTTCAGTTACATCTTCAGTACTCCTTGAATATTTCAGGCAATATTATACTCTATTACTTTTTTAGATAAAGCATTGGTACAATATCACTAAAAAGTATTTGTCAACAAAATAAAAGCAAGACCTTTGTAATTTCGGTTCATAATTATAACATATAACATAACGGTTGAAAACAAGGTGGTTTTTTTATTTCAACCAATTATTAACCTGGCAGCAGAAGGCCAGCCTGTGAAAACAGAGTGTTTAAATCTTCTGGGTGATTCTTGTAAAATTCTATTGCTGTTTCATCAGAGAACGAGGGTAAATCCTGCCAAATGCTGCAAACCACAATGTCAAGTTCCTGAATCCCCCAGTTACTACAGCAGGTTTTCAGATCTTCGGGCACCAGACAAGGAGCTCTTCTTTGAATCTCTAGAGAGATAACTTTACAGCAGAGATGTGCCTTGAAGCTGGAACATTTATTCATGGATCAATGGGTGGCATTGCTTGAGAGGAGCTCAGCAGCCTTGCAGTCTTATTCCTGTCAGCATGTTTTGATGTTAGACTGGAGGAGATTTGTCTAACACTTGAAAGGAGGCTTGGGATGGAGGAAAAAAAAAAAAAGGAAATGAGATCAAACAAAGGCCTGATTATATAGTGTTTAAAGAGGAGCTTCCGGGGCATAGCCAGCAGGTTTTAAATATTTAAATATTAATCTTACGCCCTTTATTTTTCTGTGTAAGCAAAAAGATTATACTTCTAAACAAGCAAGTCGTGGTCAAAATGTGTAAGGTGGGGACCTTACAGGTGACATATTAGTTACATATTCATGTGAGGAAAAAAGGGCTGGTTTACCACATGCCTTGGAATTTCAAAGGAACCCGTTACATTGGCCCAGTTTGCACCCTGGATAGAGCTCCAAGTTATTCCTTTTTGTAGGGACAGCATTATCTGGATGCAGTTGTTCTGTTATTCTGCCATAGTGTGAGCACTCCTATAAGGAAATAACCTGCTCAGGGGTTTTTTTTCCAGGACAAAATCCTGCTCTTTGCTCAGATTGGTCCATCAGCACCAAAGCTGTTCCTGTGTTGGGAGCACATGCCAGGAGTCCTGCCAGGAATTTCGAGTGGGATATTTGTCATTGGACAAAGGGCATAACAAATAGCTGGGCAGCTTTTGTCTGCAAACACTCACTGATAACAGAGTGAGGGTTATACAGGATTTAAATGTTGCTCCCAAAGTATTTCCAGATTTTGCTGTGGAGAAAATCTTCCAAATGCAACCTAAGGGCAAACTCTTTTACTGACCCTCTACCCGTGCTGCTCAGAGAAATACTCCTACAGATCAATCTTGGATTCTGTACAAACTGTGAAGATAAAATAGACAAATTTAACACTTTAAACCACTATAGATAGTGTTGTTGACAGCATCTCCTTTTCATCATGAACATCTTGTTTTTCTGAGACCAGCCTGGGCATTAGGGATTGCTTTGGTCTGTTTTTCAGTTAATTTAAAAATGTTCTTGTTTTGCTTTGAGCATTCAGGAAGGAATCAGGATAATGTAAATAAATGGAGTGTCTGCAGTGAAAGCTGCAGCATAGAGCCCTCGAATCCAGCTTCAGATAAATCCACAGCCAGCAAAGTGAACCAACCCACAACAACAAGGTTGCTTCTCTGGTCCCAGACAGCTTTTAAGCTCACTCACTTTATTTCAAGGCTCCACTGCAGACACCAGAGCAACAATTTCCAGAAATACATGACTCATGAACCTACAGATGCAGGGAATTAAGCGTGCAGCCCTCATTTCTTTAGTCCTGAAGTTCTCTACCACTTAAAGTAGAGGAAAGTTTTATTTGCTTATGGTGGTAGTAAGTTAACATCTCCCCTATGAACTGATCTCTTGAGAATAATTCTGCTTTTTATGATCAGAAAGTCACTGCATTCCTCCCTGGCAACTTTTTTCCTCAGTCCTAAGGAATGATTACTGGACCAGAGTCCTGGAAGTAGAGTTGTTCCAGTCTTGCTGGTGTGAAACAAGAAGGTCTCTCATGTGAATGAAAAATTAATTCGAACACGATGATTGTAACAGGTTTCTCTTTATTTGCTTGGCATCTTATTCTTATATTTTTGCAGTCGTATCTCCCAATCAAAAAAATATTTCAGTTATTCAAGAGGTTCAGTGAACACTGAGAGACTCAATCAAAACTACATTTGAAAGCCTCCTTTTTTTTTTTTTTTTTTTTAATATTAAGAACTGAATTTATCCAACGATTGGCATTCAGTGAAACTTCCTAGTTTCCTCCCATAAGCAGTTCTGTCCAGTTTCCTCACAGTAAATAAGGATCACCACATTGGCTAAGAAATTAAATACAGAAAACTGAGCCAAACTTGGTCCCAACCAGCAAACACTCCATATTCCTGCTGATTTTTTTATGAGGGATGTTCAGTGTTTTTTTTTTTTTTGGGGGGGGGGGGGGAAGAAGAAGGGGAATCATCTGCCGTGTGTTGGGTGAGGATGACTGAGCTGAGTGTAAATACTTTGCGCTGTTTGATCCCCCAGCACCAGGCCCCGCTGACAAACCCGGCTCCAAACGTTC